CCGATACAGTTTGCTCACACTTGTGTGGCCATATATCGGTAAATTAAAGTTAGCGTGCATTTCGAGCTGCACGGTACATGTCCACGATAGTGTTGTCGAACGAGTTTTCAACATCCACCTTTTATGTAGTAAGTATGTCACGAGTGTTGAGAGCATTCAGTTGTAGAGTCAGCCTTCAAATCGAGTTATCGTCCACGACAACCAAGTGAGGAAGGAACGGAGGATAAAGAGCAAGTAGAAATGCAAAGTGTATCAAAACTGCCATATTTTGGATGTCTAGTCTGCCGCCCTATTGCAGGCTAACGTTATGCGCTTTCCTGCGATCCTCAAATGTGGTTGCAGCATTGTTGAAAATGCAGTTAACTTATCCCAACACATCGAGCTCGATGTACTACCGTTGCGACCACGAACACGCCAAAAAGCTTGCGATTTCGCCATGATTAGGGTCTGGGCAGTGCGTCTATATAAATCTCAATTCGGAGTCAAGCCGACCATGACATGGTTTCTATAGTTTGGTTTCACAATGTCAATTGCAAGCTGGGCAGATTAATAGCGTAAAACTGTGCTGTGGATGTTGGTCGTGCAAATTCGATTTATATCACGTCATATTCAAATATCTTGATATTTGTATTTAGGGGTTCTTAGTTTCTCGATGGACGCCCGTCAGGTTGGAAGCTAAGCATTTCTATTGGCTATAATGTGCAAAACCACAAAGGTGGTCAAACTCCATCCAGCCACGACAATTTGGAGATAGAAATGCCATGCGACTGATGGAACTTGTTTCAGTAACGTGATGTGGTGAAGTACAGTATATACACCGGTATGTATGTCGTTGAAATGACAGGTCGGTATGAATTTAGTAGTGTGCTCTGTAAATATACTGATAATTTGGCAGATAGTACATACTGGTATACTAAGGGAATTTGCCCGACGCTCGTCGTGCACGAAGCCTTATAACCGGATGCCGGTCGTGTAAAAACCGTATTATGGCGATTACCCAATACTACTACGTACATGGAATGAAAATACAGTACACATTTTGTCCAACTTACGTATGGTACAAATACAGCACGGTCTTGTACAGCTGTACAGTACTATTAATAGTAGGCAACAACCTGCAGCCGTTCGTTCTCCCCTTCCCACCAACAAGGCTCAAACTAGCAAGGTCCTATATTTACTACGACATCACAAAAACTGCTACTTGCATTACAATGCACATTCAAACCACTTGACAGGCTTGCGGTCGTCGCCCCACCACCCGTCTCCGTTCCGAAACGACGTGTCCAAGTGGTTCAGCGCAGCCTTGTAATTCGCACTTCTGGTATTGCTTCCAAACCTACTAGTACTCACGCCCACGCCGCACGACCAGAAGTCCACTACGCCATCGTCCTCCGTGTTATGTTTGGACAAGGACGAAACGAAGTTCAACCCAGAGGCCCACGTGATCAACCCCACAGGACTGACGCCACACAACAGTTTCTTGTCCGGGTGGTTGATGCGAGCTTTCTGGGCGGCAGCGTACTGATCATGCAAGGTCAAGTCGACGGTGCTTTGGTGTTTCAGCTGCAGGAACGCTCGTTCGGCGGGGCATTTGCCCACGAGGTTCAAAATCACCTTGATGGGGGCGTCGCCCCAGCCCCCAGAACTGCACTTTTGCTCCAGTAGATTCGCCGTCTTGCTGCCTTGCATGGGCGCCGACAACGAAATCCACGACACGCCCTCGGAGAAGCTGCACCTACCGGTGGCCAGCGCGCCCCCTGCAACGAGGTTCCCCATGGAGTGCGTGACCAGAATGAGGTTGCCCACTGTCGTTCTGTTGTTGTTGGTTCCGTATTGCAACGCTAACCGACAGAAATCATGCTGAATCTCTTCATCCGCCCACCCTCGCTTGACAGTCTCCATTTGCACAAAATTGGTGCTGGAGCAGCATGGGGCGTTATCTTGAATGCTCCCCCAATACTCCGCCAACGAATCGACTGTAGGGCCGTTGGAGGATGTGCCCAAACCGTGCACAAAGAGACAAGGGCGACGGAGGCCGTTGCAGCTGCACGACGACCGACCTAGCGACAACGTTCTAGGGACCCTGCCACTGACTTTCGAAGGTGGTGCTTTCGGAAGAGCTGCCCGGACAAACGGACACTGGCGATCGGTCGACGGAGCTACAATGTCTGAGACAATGTCTGAGACTCGATTTGGATCGTAAATGTACTCGACGGTGAACGTCAAGTCGTCACCGAGGACGTGGGTGATTCGATTGGCGCTCGATTTGCACACGACAAACGTTTCACCTGCAAACTTGAGCTCCAACAGTTGGCCCTGGTCGCAGCCCACGGTGGTTGGCGCACCGTGCTCGTCGACAACGGACACCGCGTGCGACCCTTCCAAGCTGCTTTGAAGGAGCTCGATGGGGGGGATTTGCGATGGCTCCATGCACCCCGACGTGCTGGGGGTGCCGTCGGAATAAGAAATCGACCAGTACGCACGGTTGTTGAGGAGCACGTATGTCTCGTTCACGTCGTTGCCTGGCTGGGTTAGAATGGCGTCAAAGGTCAGCGCCGACCCGGCGTCTTCTTCGAGGTCGCTCGCGCGAGGGACGATGTACACGGTGGCTTGGCTTTTGCCGTTGAGTTGCATGGTCGATCGAAGGGCGGTGAACGTGACATTCAACGCCGACGCTTGTTGTATGTTGGACACGATGCTCTTCGTGTCGAGTTTGGCTTGGTGTTGGGCAAATAGGATGGCCCCCACGGTCGCACATGCAACGCCACATATAGCCAAGACCGCGGCCACCAGACGAAACCGAGTGATCATTGGTTTGTGGTGTTGGAACGTATTAAGTTCGCGGGGGGTCGCATGGATAGCTACAAATGGGTCGTTGGTTGGAGTGGTTGGTTGCATAATGCTTTGGCGCAGGGCGACAATTGAAAAGTGAGCAAATGACAACGACTGCTCGACTTTTTCTGGTGTTGTATTTCTGCACTGG